AAAGTGATCCATATCATCCCGAAGTAGGAACCCTATGATTTCCTGCTCATCCGTATGTATATATATATATGTCAATCGATTCCGCTGTTTGAGAAAACCCAGATTGCTGCGTGTTTCTGGAAGCTATCATGAGCGGTGGAGGTGTAGATCATCATAGCAGCTTCTCAGTTGTCCATGTGTTCGCTGCTGTTTTTCTACAAGGCTCTGGGCTCAAAACTCTTGACCATAAATCGAGAGTAGAGAGGCACATTGTCGGCCCCAATCACGATCCCGAAATTTCTTGGACACTTGAGAGCCCAGGGAAGGACTAGGTGACGGGGCAATATCCAGAAGCTTACCACTTCAAATCACAGAATATAGTGGCCGAATAATTACCAATATCATGGTTCCATATTCCTTGGATAATTCATAGTATATGGTACCTCAAATGGACGGCAAAATGATATTGGTATTTCTTGAGGCCCCTGTAGTAGTGTTTGGAATTATATCCTACCAAGGGCGTGGAGACCTTGGGGCGACTCTGCCATCCTCTAACCCGAAACCCTTAGGGCCCTCCTGGGATATTCCTACAGTAAGAATGCATTCTAACTATGTCGGTCCATAATCCCCACATTTTCCCTATAAAGCTATAAGAATTCATTTTTTCTAGGGCCCCTAAATCTATCCCAGTCTCTTGAAAAGCTGAGACGCTCCCAGGTGTTTGTGAGCCCAGGGAGTCGAAACATCCGGTTCCTGGATACAAGCTGAACGTTTTTTTTTTTCTTTTCGGGGCGGGGGATTGGGAAAGGGTTTGTAGTGGGCTCAGGATTTAGCTCAGGATTTAGGGGGATTTAGGGGCTCAGGGGTTTGGTGGATTAAGGATGGGAACTTAGGGGGTAGCATAGAGGGGGGGTAGTAGGTGAACCCTGAACCCCTAACCCTAAACCCTGACCGGTGGCTGCACAGATCCCATTTCGGTCCCCTCATGAGACAGTGCAAGCTCACAAGCGTGCCTACAGACAGGCACGCTGAGAGCGAATTACTGAGAGATTGTCAGTTCTCAAGTGGATGCTTCAGGACTGTCCACAAGGATGCATGCATAAACCCTAAACCCCCAACGTTAAACCCTAAACCCTAAAAACCTTAAGCCCTAACTGTGCACCTCTGAGGCTTCTGGCTGTGTCCCTCTTCCCCCGCCCCAGCGAGGGTGCAAAAGCTGCCCGGTGCGGGGCAGCTGCCGCGCTCCGCGCGGCCCAGGCGATAGCAGGCGGCTAGGTATGGTTTAGGGCGAAGGGTTAAGGGTTCAGGGTTTAGGGTTTAGGAGAGGGTCTGGGGGATAAGGGTTTAGGGCTAAGGGCTCAGGGGTGTAGGGCTTAGCGTTTGGGGATGAGGGTTTAGGTTTGAGGGATGGGGCTTTGGGGTTTAAAGCTTAAGCAGGCTTCTGTAGAGGGATGTTTTTGCTTTTGATGAGGTAGTTTTTATTTCTATGGTGTCTTTTTGGTCGAACGGGGGGTTGTATTGATGGTCGCGACTCCGTTTTCAGTTTTTCTATTTGCTTTGTTCTGCCCTTTAGAAAGGTTTTTTGCTGGCAGCGCTTTGATGAGTTCAAGACGGGGTTGGGCAGAGTGCTGGTACTGTTTGGGTATTGCAGAAGCAAAGTGGCTGTCTAGGGTAGTGGTGGCAGGTATTAGGTTCCTGCACCACTCTATAAACTCTGTTTCCATTTCATTTTCTTTTGATTCTATATTCTTCGGTATAACCCTATGTAACCCCAATATCCTTGTTTGAAGGTACTTCTAATGCAGTTGGATCCCTTAACCCTAAACGCAAACCCGGAAGTGTTAGCAGCAGATTCCGGACTTGTCGTCATGCTTCCCAAGCTTGCTGTCGTAAGCCCTGAGCACGGAAGCCTGAACCCTCAAGCCTCAATTCCGAAACTTTGTATTCTCCCTTAAGTAGATAGAATATTGCTTTGGGTATATTGAAACTTCCTCGCCAGACGTAAAAGACCCAAAGCTTTCCAGACCCTAAGCCCTAAACCCTAAACCCTAAGCCTTAAACCCCAACCCCTAAGCCCTAAACCCTAAATCCTAAACCCTCAACCCCAAACCCCAAACCCTAAGCCCTTAAGCCCTAAACCCTAAACCTTTAAGCCCTAAGCCCTAATAGATCCTTCCGAGCCATGGGTAGCGGAGCCTCACACGCAAGCTCCCGCTCTGATCCTGGCGAGCGGTCTAAGCTGTTGGGCGCAACTGGGGCTAATGTTTAGGGTTTAGGTGTTTAAGGGTTTTAGGGTTCAGGGTTTAGGGTCTAGGGATGCGGGTTCAGGGTTAAGGGTTTAGGGATTAGGTCTTTCGGGCTTAGGGAATGTGTTGGCATCCCCCCAAACTGGGTTGCTGTTAAGGAACTTAAGTCAACATATTCTGGGCATGTAGTAGATATAAAGGTTTCCTTATAGCAATGATTGAATTCAACTTCCTTAATGGCAGCCCAGAATATGGTGGATGGAGGCAGTCTTGCTCCACTTGAGGCCTTTCACATAGTGTAAACCTGATGGGGTGAGGTATACTAGGCTGGTGCAAGTTTCCTCCATCCAGAGCATGGCAAGCAATGCCCTAAATCCTAAACCCTAAACCCTATGGTTAAGGGTTTAGGGAGTGCTTCAAAGTTGTTGTGGAGTAGTGGGTTACATTCGGACTATCCCAGGTGCTCCATATGGATATCAGCGAGCTTCTTCAAAGCACCTGAGTTCAACCCTCTAGAGTGACCCTTCACCCTTTTAGTTCCTGGATGCTCCAAACTACTCTGACTAGCGGCATTTTGAGAAGCCGTTGGCTGGTCGTTGATTTTCATTTTTTGTTTTGTTCTGTCGACCTCTGTGTGGAGTGCTCATCATAGCGATGACATAGGTTTGGTGGCAGTATTCTCTGCGAGACCTCTTTCCACCAGTCTAGTTGGGCGAAATCTTGGTTAACGCCTGTTCATCACGGCTCGTGTCTAATCCAGTAGCTTCGTGCATGTTCCCCTACCCATAGCTTCTTAAGGAATTCCCGCCTGAAGTTGCATCCGTAATGTTTCAGAAACAAGCCCTAGACCCTAGGCTCCAAACACCACGCTCTGAAGCCAACATATCCTTAACCTTTGTATCGAGCCCCTCCACAATTCCCCCAAACGAAAAAACGGCAGTTTTCTCTAGAATCTTGCAGTTGCCTTCGGTCTCAGGTCCGGAACCTGCCTCCTAAATCCAACACCCCAAGCCCCAAACTCGACCCTAAATGCAAAAACTTCAAGCCTACCCTCTACATGTGAAACAAGTAAAGGCGAAATCCTAAACCCGAGTCAAAGTTGAATCTAACTTGGTAAGTTTTGCCACAGTAAAATCTGTTGCCCAACGAGGAATATGTGGTTCTTAAGTTGTTGAGTATCCCAAGCAAGAATCAGTAAACCCACAAACCTCCTTAGGTCAGCTTGGAACCTTCAAGCCCCTCCACCCTGAAACTGCGGGCAAAGTCGAAAATAGCTTCTCTTCTCTTCAGTATCTTAAATGCAATAGGGAACTGCAATCTGCTTTAAGTATCCAAAAAGGGGAGCCACAAGCCCATGTGAGCAATAGTCTAAACTCCCTAAAGGGTGTTATAGAGGGGATTATATAGGGGAGTGTTATTTAGGTGCCATTAAGGGGGATGCTAGGAATTTAGACTTTAGCTCATGTAGGTCAGCTTGGAGTACCTTCTGAATGACTTCGTCTTGGAGGCTCGCGAAGCGACCTGCCTTCAGGACCCGACGTTTTATATTATCTCCGCTGAGCCTCCTGGCGAAAGGTTCAGGGTTCAAAGCTTGCGGTGGTGTATAGTCCCCCTTAAGTAGATGCAACATTGGGTATATGGGAATCTTATTATAATATACCTGCAGCCATCTTCTATCTACTTAAGGGGGACTACAGGGGTTGGGCCTGAGGGCTTGTGAGGTTTAAGTGTGGGAATTGGATGTTAGAGCTCCGGGGTTAGGGGAAAAGGTTGGGCAGAAGGATTCAGGGCTTAGGGTCAAGGGTCTAGTATCTAGGGCTTAGAGTTTAGGGAGCAGAGATTGGGAGAAAGGTCTAGGGATTGGGGTTTGGGGTTATGCGGTGGGGGGTTAAGGGTGTTGGGGGTCAGGGTATGAAGTTCAGGCTTTAGGGATTATGGATGAGGCTTTAGGAGGTAAGCTTTGGGGAAGGATCTTCTAGCCACCTCGAACAGGGAATGTCGGATAGTAAGTCTTTAGTGATTTTCCATATCAGTTTGGGGAAGTGTAGTAGTACTGAGGACCATGAGCGCTAGGCTTCTGACCGGAGTCTCCTGAACGTTAAGGATTCTGAAGTGTTTGGGGTAATTTGGGGGGATCACTTGAGTAAAGGACCTATGATTTGCAGGGTATCGAGGAGACCTACCTTGAGAAATTTACACGGCTTCTGCCGGGCTGTTCGGCTTGACCCTACCTCTTCTTTTGTAAAGTCTTTGAACGATTGTCTAGTATGCCGGGAGACTGCAGCCCATCTTATTTGGCCTGGCGACATTTGAGTTTGGCTCGGTACTTCCCTACTTCAAACCTACTCGGGCAGACTTTTCCCAAGTCTTTCAGCAAATATAGGATGATAACAGACCCTGAAACTCTCAACCCTTGCTTGGACTGCCTAAGGTGTTTCCCAATATGGGGATTTCCCAAAATTTAGGGTTTAGGGGTTTCCTAGAATATAGGGGGTATATAGTCATAGTGGTTATATAGGGACATGGAAAAGGAAATGGAAGCTACTATTTAGGGTTTAGCAGCGAAAGAAATCAACAAGCTGATTTTCATCACATCCTCAGACACCTACAGCAGAACATCTCCCAAAAACCTACAGCTAAAGCTTGCCTGATCACCAAGATTACTCCCTTGTAGTCCTTGCGTCGTGAAAATATAAGTTACCCCAAACCCTTATGGGAATTACTTGGCGGGGTCCTGTCTTATTGTAGTTACTCTGGCCCGTACATGCAGCAGAGATGAGGCTGGCATCTGGCGAGGGCGGCAAGGGCAAAGGATTGGAGTGCCCAAGGGACCACCAGCCCGACTGCAGCATGGTGGATGCCTTGGACCGAGATTGGGACCTTCCCTTGAGCAAATTTTAGGGTTTCTTCCAAAGATGTAAGGGTCAGTAGACGCACACGTGAACCTTAATGAAATTTTAGGGTTTAGGGCTTAGGATTTAGGCTTTTTTTTCCTTTAGGGCTTCGGCTATAAGGTTTAGGATCTAGGATTTAGGGTATAGGATTCAGAGTTTAGGGTTGAAGGTTTGGGGTTTGAAGTTGGGTCTCTCTAAGCAGCCACTCCAACTATGAGGATCTTGATTTTTGGGCACGCCCAAACAGGACCCGGATCTGGAAAAAGGCTTATCCAGCAGTCATGACAACTTGCTGCATGGAAGATGTAAAGCTCCCAAGCTTGTGTCGAAGATCGCGTAAAATGGTAGTGTCCCTGAAGAGGAGGACCCCAATATAGACCCCCAACTACTATAGTCCTTTTTAGGGGGACCCCAAAAGATATCCCTAATGTTGGGAAACCTTAAACCTTCAACCCTAAACCCTAATGCAAGAAATGTCCTCGCTGGCCCAGGAGAAGGGTTGGCAGACATGGCAACGCACTTCCTGTCCTGGTGGGGAACGTCCGAGATTGGTTTTTGACTTTGGCTTAGAAAGCCCCAGACCCTAAACCCTAAACCCTAAACTCTAAAGTCTAACCAGGTTCTCCACGTCAGTAGGCAGCCGTGTGCAGGGACCCTCTTTTGAAGCCTCTGCAAACACGTCTCTAGCTCAGGAAGAAGGTTGTGTAGCTATAGGCTCTGAATCGCCAATCTTGTAGAGCCATGATTAATAAACCCCCTTCCTTTTAAGAGGCGAAATATTAGGATCCCTATTATAATCGCCATTAAGGGTTTAGGGGGGTTTATTAATCAGGGGTCTGGGTTACCTTGCTCTCCCTGGCAGGTGTTGGGCCTATCATCTTCACATGTACGTGGAGTCATGGCAACTGTGGCTCAGAGCGAACCGGAAGAAAGGCATGAAGATTCCGGGCTGCTGTTAAGGAGCCTAATTTAAGTTACTATATTGGGGGAACCGTATGAGTTACTATATGAATATATGTATATATATACACATACCCTAAACCCTAAAGATGGTAACTTAAGTTGCAGCAACCCAGGATTGGGGAGGTCTATGTCTGGCAGTGTCTATTCTGCAACAATCAATATCGCATTGAACAGAATGCAAGTGCCATCAATGATAGCCTGGGATCGATATTCAAGACCCGACTCCTTCGAATCCGGAAGATGGTGGTCTTGCTGGATTCTGGGTAGGCACAGGGAAATTTTAGGGTTTAGGGTTTAGGGGTTTAGGGTTTAGGCTTTTGATTTTCCTTAATGGCTTTATTAGGGGACGCCATATACTAATATTCTTTGGGGGGGTCCAACCCAGGATCGATTTATGCAGCCGCGTTATCTGAGCCGCGTTTGGTGTGTATATGAGATGTACACTGCCGTAACATCGCAAGATGCTGGGTTGCTGTTAAAGGACTGAGTTTAAGTTACTATATTGGGGAAACCCGATTATTTACCACAGTATATTTATACATACCCATTATGGTAACTTAAGTTAGGTTCCTTAACATCGACCCAGGATGTGTCTGTGGATTTCATGTTGCCTCCTCAGCAAGCCACGGAAATCCAAGAAATGATCCAGGCTGGTGGAACGCCTCTGGGGTGGATAGTTGGCTGGATTTCTGTTGAGGAACTGAAGCTAATTTACTCTTATATGTAAGCACTATTTTCCATTAAGTATACATATAATTATCCGTATTAGGGTTACTTATTTTAAGTTCCTTAATGGCAATCCAGTTGAATAACACCTTTTAGCTTTGAATGGCGTGCAGCCCAGTTGAATTAATCTTTCAGCTTCAAATAGTCCATTCTCCGCACAACCCTCGCGTACAGCCAGAGCATGTTTTTTTTTTAGCTCAGCCCTTGCATGATCCTTGGGAATTGTTTCGTTATGATAGATATGTTACTCGTGTATACTGGATACTTATCAAAAAAACCTCCACACGTGGGCTAGGAACCAAATCAAAGAGGGCTTTGAGAACGTGCACTCGGAGAGCGCGACGGCTTTCAAACGGGAAGATGAGGCAAACATGGGATTCCCCTCTTGGGTTCATGAAGACAGTAGGATTTGGGGATACATGCGGGACCATGCCTATTTTTGGAAAGGACCATCAGACGAGTTGTTGAGGGGGTCAAAAAGAGAGGGCGTATAGGTTTCTTATCCAAACAAATGCTCGAACCAGGGTTGGATGAACTCAAGATTGCAAGGCCCCTTGGGGAGTAAGCCCTAAACCACCCCAAAAAACTTGCAGGTAGGGATATTTACCATCAAAAGGTTTCCAGTATATTTTTGAGAAAACTGGAACCTTACTTGCCCCAATCACCAAGACACACAACCCTGAACTGTAAACTCCAGGGGCGTAAACCCTAAACCCTCCCCCCGAGGACATGGTCAAAGATGAAATCCGTCGCAGTTCTGGAGGCTTTGAAGCGGTGGATACTCAAGTCCGTGAGAAGATGAAGGAGTGGGTCAAGCAGCAGTTTCTTTGTGGTTTAAGGTTTGGGGGTTGAGGGCTACAAAGGCGTAATATGTAATGGTATCATCTTAATGGTATCATCTTGGGATGATTCTCAGGATAACTTTGTCTTTGTCATCATGTCAGCGTTTCTTGCCATGGGGGTAGCTGGACCCTGTGGAATTGTCGGGTTTCTGCTGGGTTTTATGGGGATCGCTTTCAGAAACTCTCGCCTGCCTCTAAGAATGAGCCTTTTCTAGCGTTTAGGGTTTAGGGTTTAGGGTTTAGTTGAAGATTTTCATGTAGTCGATTTGGAGGATTGGTTCCATAGGGTCAGAGGCAGTCTACTACTAGTAGGGGAGTGGATCAGAGGTTGTAGAAGCCCAGGGAATTGGAACAATTGATCCCTAGACTCCTTGCATAGGTATAGAAATCCTAAACCCCTAAACCCTAACCCTAAAACCTGAAGCCTAATATTGATATCCTATAGTTATAGAACCCCTAAGCCTTAAAATCCGAAGAACTACATTTGTCATCTCTAGGGCCATTACCCAGCATTTGCCTAAGAACCCCTTTAAAAACAAAAGATGATAATCCCTCTATTACCCTTATAAGGAAGACTATTTTGTGGGTGCTTCTTAAGCATATAGTAGTTCCACTACAAAAGATCAGCTAAGGTTTGACAGGCTCCTGAACGCGCCATCGCTCTCAATCAAGCGCCGCAGTGAGGCCGCCTTCCTGTTGCGTGCGGGGCTGGCATCAGAGCTGTGCCTGGGTTGTGACTTAGGGTTTAGGGATTATAGTCCCCCTTAAGTAGATAGAATATGGGGTATATGGGGATCTTATTATAATATACCCAAACCCATATTCTATCTACTTAAGGGGGACTATAGGTCTAGGGTATCAGGACTAGGGTTCAGGGTCTAGGTGTTAGGGTTTCGGGGCTAGGGTTTCGGGGTTAGGGTTTAGTGTCGAGGGTTTAGTGCAATATTCATTCAAAAGCCGGGTCCTAGATGTCTTTCAAAGCAAGGGGAATTTGGGGGTGGACCGAATGGATGGCGATTACAGTTGTTTAGGGTTTTGGGTCCCTCAGGGTTTGTGATCCGGGCAGTTTCCAGAAACTCCCAGATGTAATGCAGAGCTGCACCGCTGTAACCTCTACATTTGTGGTTCCTGTGTAGAAGTTCTACCCCCCCTAAACCCTAAACCCTAACCTTTAACCCTAAACCCTGAACCCTAAACCCTTAAGCCTCAACCCTAAACCCTGAACCCTAAACCCTTAAGCCTCAACCCTAAACCCTAAACCCTGAACCCTAAACCCTCGTCCCATCCTTCCTACACCGTGATCAAGGATTGAGAAGCTGACGAAAGCAGGCATCAAAACCCAGGATGATCTGGAGGAGGCATAGGGTTTAGGGTGTTGGGCTTAGGGTTTAGGGTTTAAGAGTTAGAGGGTGTAGGGCCTAGGGCCTAGGGTTTAGGGTTGCTTAACTAGGGTTAAGTGTTTAGGGCTTAGGGTTTAGGGTTTAGGGCTTAGGCATATTTGTGTGAGTTTGCAAGTCATGGTCAAAGGTGCATGAGCTCCAAAAAGACCCTAGGCCCCGAACTTAAAGCCCTAAAACCTAAAGCGTGAGCCCCTAAACCCTGAACCCTAAACCCTAAACCCTGAACCCTAAACCCTAAACCCTAAACCCTGAACCCTAAACCCTAAACCCTGCAGACGGGTTCACTTCCAGGGACAGTTTTTGAGGTATTACGTGGACGTCCAGGGATTCTGTGGCAGTTGGGTCTCCGTGGCGGTGCTTGAAATCACTGGCCAGCGCAGTATTTCGGAGCATTTCTGAAATTGGCA